GGTGGGGGGGGGGGGGGGGGGGTTGCAAGTAGGCATATCCCATACAAAACACTGGTTGCAGTCATTTGTTATGTTTATTTTCTAGCTGGGGCCTAGAATATTCTTGTAAATAAATATGGCAACTAAGACTGGCATTTTACAGTATGCTAATATCTCATTTAATTTTTTTCAGGGACAGGAATCTAAAAAAAAAACAGGTGGGGTTTGGAAATGGTGGGGCACCAGGTTTAAATGATTAGAGATATAGAAGCAATTTGCTTAATGGTAAATAAAAATGACGCATAGTTGTTATACCACAAGGATATATGCAATACCTCATTTTCAGTACATAATCTTTTTCTCTACTTAGCTTAATGCAACTATATTGTTCTTTGCTTAGCATAAACCCATAATAAAACTGAGTGGCCATTCTGCAATGACAATGTATAGGCAACTAAAAGTTAGCATCTATTTTTAGACCAGACGTAACAAGCTACAGTGAGAAACAATACAAAAGGAACTAAGAGACAAGGGGACAGACAGCAATAAAAATAGAACAAGCTGCAATCCTGTATTCACTTATCTGAGAGCAAATAAATCTTGATGAACTTGATGAGAACTACTTCTGAGTGGACATACATAAGATGGTGCAGTTAATTTTTTTGTTGTTCTAAAAATGGAAGCATTAGAAAATGAAGGCATAAGAATCTATCTGGTGTGGCCGCTTGAGTCACTGTAGTCCTCTGCAACATGGCCATCTGTAGGTTGGCCTTCTGCTGCCTTGTGCAGCTCTCTGAACCTTGGCAAACAGACATCTTTCAAAAGGTTTCCAATATTTGCCTCCAGAGCACTGAGCAGGGGACTGGATTCAGTGACTTAAATGGCCTCTTCTAACGATAAAGTTTCTGACAACTTTATTATTCAACAGACTGGTACCCACATGTGAATTCCTCAGGTTGCTTCTCCTGTAACATGTTTTACACAACTTCTTGTTTGTTTATGGTTCCATCAAACCCTTCCTTTGCCCTTCATTGGGAGAGGATTATGAATTTCCCCCCAAAAACCCACCCCCAAATCCCAACAACCTAACATGGGAAAATCCTTTCACCCATTCCCTGTTAGCGTTTAGAACAGTTATCAAATCTCATTCTTACTTCAAGTCCATCAAGGTAGTATTTTTTTCTTATTTTCTGCTTGAGAAAAATGAACTTTCCAATTATGAGGTAAAATCAGCAGTAATTCTTATGGTGCTTTAAAGACTCACAGATCTATTGCAGTATTATCCTCAGTTAGCAGGATATTTTTTTATGAGATTTAGAGGCAGCCTGACCACAAAATGAACGGAGTGGCTTACTCTAGAAAATCCTACACAGCCACATAAACATACTCCCTCTGACTTAAAACATAACCAACAGGGTCTCCACAAGCACCTACTGCAAGGCCCGGAAGAACAGTCAAATTTTTAAAGACTTCCCGAACATCATCAGGGTGGGAGCCAAACAGATCTCTGGAGGTATCTCATTCCAAAGGGCAGGTGTAACCACAGAGAAGCCATGCCTCTTGGGCCCTGATAGATGATATTGTTTGATCGAGGGGGCCTAAAATGCACCATTGCCCAGTCTAACTGGATGGGCAGAAATAACCTGACCCTATGCCATGAATGGCTGTATATCTGCATATATATAGGTAAGTCCGTCTGTGATAAATGATGAAACAGTTGAATGCAGTGATGGATGATGTGGCCTCAGAGTCACATGAAGCTCCCCTATCCATTTTATGCATACTCCCCACCAGGGGTTCCCTCTGATTGCACTGCCAAATTTTGCTTATAGATAAAATAGGTGTTTAGCACCTAAAACTCCTCACCCTCAAATCAGAAGGAAACCTTTTTCTATCCCTGCCCATGTGCAAGAAGCAGCATCTGCCCACTTGCACTATCACCTGACCAGTGTGACAAGGGCCATGCACAAGTTGTTATATGCACATACAGCCACCAAAAAATTGGCCCTCCCAGGCTTCTATTTTCCTAAGTAACATGGTTGTCTTGTGAAAGGACTGGTTCCCATCATAAATTATTTTCCAAGCCACACAATTTACAGGGGACTGAAGACATACAGGCAGACGTCCATACATACTTCTGCAGAAACACATCTCCAACTGATCTCCCTGGAGTGCAACCTTCTGTGAAATGGGCATAAGCGGCTCATGAGTATTATTATTATCATTATCATTATCATTATTCTGCTCAACTCATGCTTCACCCAATAATTATAGTTTTAGAGGGTGACTTACAGTTTTGATGACTTTTGGTCATACTCTCAGAATCCAATGCATGGTAGAATTCATACGCAGAACGGCCCAGCAGTTCCTCAGGATGATATCCAACTAATTCAGTTATCCTTTACAAAATATACATATATTCATTACATACTGAATTTAAAAGAAAAAGAAATATTTAATACATTACACCTGTAGTCTGGATTTGCCAGATCTACAGAAGTGGTCATCAGGTGCTGAATAATCCAGCTAATGGCATGTAACACACATTTCATTTAAAACAAGAGCTGCTTAGTGCACCACAGTACACGTCTGTGAGGTCTGCAGTCTTAGCCTAGCATTAGTAATGGTGCCTCAATGAGCAGAATTATTCCTATGACTGGGTAAGAGAATGTTTTGTAGATTTGTACTGCATCTCTTATTTTCCATTCTAAGGACTCACTTACTATTCAATTACATCTTGAAGTCTAGTGACAAAAAGGTGTAAATCTCCAGTGAGTATTCATGATTAGGAATTCAAGTCCAGACACCAAGCCACCATCAGACACATTGCCCATGACTTTTAGCACTTGATATACTCTTTCTTCTCCCTCTCCCCCTCTCACATGCAGATATAACTTTTTTCTGTTTACTTGACCATGGTGCAAGTATTGCATCTACATTACAGTTAGCTATGATTAGCTTTAATCAGTTTGCAAACCATCGCATGCCATTATATTAGCATTATCATTAAAGTCTACATAACAGAACTCCATGGTGAACTCCAAAGAGATATGGAATAGAGAAATTTTCAAACAAAGGAGGATCATATTCAATGTACATTTTGATCTTTATCTCTTAGCCCTAGGTAAGAAATCAAGAAATATTCGTGTCTTGGGGTAACAACCACAGCTCTGATTTAACTTGAAGCAGCAGACTGGAAGAAAGCCAGGGGGTGGGGTGGAATTGAATAAAATATTGAATTAAAAATTGAACTTTTGACTTTTGTTCCTCTTTGAGATTCCATAATTTACATAGTGTTGACTTTTTCAATTGGAATTTATAGCTAGGAATTAGCTCATTGTTTTTGGTATTTCCTTTACTAAAGCAAAACATTAAACAAACAAATACTAGGCAAGATACGTACTAACATTTTGAGTCTCCAAATCTCTATGAGAGTCAGCTGCTGTACTTTATGCAATAATGTTTCCTAACATAAATTCCATGAAGATTTTCACACAGTGACTCTGTTCTTTGTGTCATCAATGTATAAATGAGTACTAGGCTACAAATCAGTGGTGCTGTGAAGATTTGGTTCAAAAATCACATACGCAAATTATCTTTTATTAAATATAACATGTATCCTATATCAAAATAATTGCTGCCATTAAAAACAAAGGCTTTTTCTCCTCAACGTTTCAGGATAACCTTGTTAACATTTTGTATAGTTTTGATCATATCTAAGTCAGGCACATGAATCTTATTATCTGTATAGTGTAATTGGATAAAACCTTTTTTTAAAAAACTGTGAAATGAAAAGGCTACAAGAAGGTTACTCCCTCCCCTTTGAACTGCATCACTCCTAGTTGACGTTAACCTTACAAAGCCAGGAAATAAAACCTTAGAACAAAGACGGAGTCTCTTTTGCCTGCAAGCACGTAGTTGCCATTATCCCTAATGACGGTAACACTGTATTCTCACAAGGATTCTGATTTCTGTGCTGCGCTAAAGGAGTCTGGCTTCGCTTTTTCTCCCCCTTTCCCCCCTTTTCATGCAGTTAAAGGGCACTTCCATTCAGCCACTGGTTTTGCTCCTCCTATCCCCTATAGCAGTTTTGCACCTGTAAGAGTGTCTTACTGCTGATTTTGCAAACTGTGGTTGGTAACTGTGGAAGGAGGAAAATAGAAAGTCCATCCAGCTGACCAACGGTGGGAGTGGAAAAATTCACTTTGAACAGCATCCCCCATGCTCATCATTTCCTCACTGCACTTGCTTTTTGGAAAGAGAAAAATACATCAGGGATTGTGCAGAGAAGATGGCCGTCCTACTGTACTGTAATTAAAGCATGGGATTTGGTGGCAGGTGCTATAATGCCTTGCTTCAATGGAGAACGGGGAAGACTCAGAAGCTGGGATTCAGGAGCCAGGAACAATAGGCAATAATGAACCCTGCAACTCCAGAGGAGACTCTGCAAAGTCAGCATAAGAATTCAGTATAAGCATATCATTTAGTTGTGCTGCCTTCTAAGATATGGATTGTAGGTTGCAACACTCTCATGGCAATTATCTCCAACAAACAGTCAATGAAACAGAGAGATATGCTTCGTTTCGGTCAATGACCAGCTAGTCAGTGCAACAAACACAGGACTGGAAGAACATGTTAAAGAACAAGGATGAGTTACATTTCATTGTTAAATGATCATTTGGTGATTGCAGTAGTCTGATTTTGCCACTGCATAATGGGTAAATTGCCATGGCCTAATGTGTGAAATGACTTGAGCTGCAGCAGTTTGCTGTGGCACTTCATAATAATAACAATAACAGCAATGATTATGAAGCATGTGAGTTTCTCATTTCAATTCAGTTAACACAGGAGTAACATCCAGTAATTGGAACAGAAATTACTTCTAGGTAATGCTCCTTAAGACTGCAGTTTTACTGCTATAAGCCTATTTCATTTTATATATGATGCTATTAGTATCTACTATCCTTGCCCAGATATTGGTCGTCGTAACTGAGGAATGTGGGAGATGTCAAGTGGGGAGATGCCAAGTTGAGCTAATGTAGATTTGTTTGAGATAATTACTGATTTCCCAAACACGTGCACTTTTGTATGGACAACTCTCAGGACTGTGACATACATTCAATGGGGTGTGTATTTTCCAAATCAGCCTATTACAGAGTAGCAGGGACACTAGCTTAGATACTCACAAAGCATTTAGTGTGACTGTGCCCCTAATTTTAGAATAAGCACCATACAAGGACTTTTGAACTGGAAAACCTCAGACTTTTCTCTAGTGCTGAAAGACAACATTATGCACTTTCAGTTGTCTCATATACCACTTTATTTTCATCTTCTACCATCCTTTCGATCTGCATCAAACTTCCTCCACGTAGCATTAGCCTCTCAAATGTACACACCATTGAAGCATTTCTTATAGTACATATACCCTGTGAAAATGTCATGTTAATGGGATCATATGTATTCTTGGATTAGAAGATCTTTTGGACAAAGGAGGTGTTATTTCATTGCCTTTTCACCCACTCCAACTAAGACCAATGTCTGCAGGATGGCAAATAGCTGTTTAGATCCTAAATGTCAGAGCACAATGGGTATGTTCTCAAAGAGCAGGCAATGAGGAAAACAGGAAAATTCCACCCCTGATTTATATTACATTGAAATATTATCCAAGGATTATGGTTTTAAAAGAGTGACTTCTGATAACTGGATAAACTATCCATATGCTCTTGTTAATATTCAGCTCATCTTTAAGCAGCATTAACCTTGGGGCATTACTCCTTTAATTACAAACCTGAGCTTGGCTAATTTTTAGAAGTAAATATTGTAATTGGTTAATTTTCTTCTACTCCTCATAAAACATGATGTACTGAAAGTGTTTCTTTTTCAGCCTTTTGACCCACCTGGAACACTCTGCCAGCGTAGCCTAACAGATAGGTACTAGTGGAACTCTGCCTATTTCTGAAACCTACAGAACATTCAGAATCAATGCTTTTTAAAGCCTTAATGCATACAGACTGCAGGCATGGAAATCACATTAGCTTGGTCCATGTGGCACCAAGCACCAGATGTGATGATAAATGGCCTGCCAATGTCGTATCATTTACTTCATCCCTTTCAAGTGGCACATGTTTCATGAACAGATAAGAGATGCAGCAACAGACCTGAAAGGAAGTATTCAGACTTCTATGCAAAATGACAGACCTCTACCTCCATAAGATGTAGTCAAATTTATACTGACCTCTCATCTACATTTTGTACATTTCTTACCCCCATTCAACATCATTCATTGCCATTAAGAATTTGGAGTTGTAACATTGTGATGTCAGTAGAAGTAGAAAGGAGACAGTTTTGTATAGAGTTGTTGCTTTCTGTGACAGGCCTGCTTGATAAAAAAGATGAATCCCCTACATTGCATTTATTCTGGCTTGTGTTTTGTGGAGGTCTTTATCCTTACATTTTATGGCAATTGGTAGGCAGTCTTCCTGCCTACAGTTGTTAGAGTTTAACTATACTGGTAGCAGAAACCGTGGAAAATGGGAAGGCACCAAGTTATCTATAGCTATTCTATGGGATTCTCCTAATATATCCTAAGTTTATATAAAAGCCATGATCACAAAGCAGGACTTTGAGTGAAAATATGATTGGCCTTCAGGTCCAAGTGATTGATAGTCCAAGGATGCATTCCTATTTATTAGTTCTTTTGGAAGAAATGCCATACTCTTCCCCTGATTAGATACATTGTTTATATCAAAACGATCTTGAATTTTATTATTATCATTATTCTGTCTCTAAACTAGAAATAATTACAACATATGTATGTTCTGTGGAAAATGGAGCTGTTTGTCAGGATTCTCCCTGGCAAGCTGGCCTGGAGCAGATTAACAGACACTCAAGAACACAAGAACTTCTGATTTATTGTAGAAAAACTAAGAAACTGTTACAGAAGAATTCTAAGAACTGATGTGTGTCAAACGCAAGTTCTATTTATACTGTAATCAGTGTCCAAATTCTTGTGTTTCTCCTCTGACTCTATGAAAAGTGCTAGAAATTATTCTTCTTTAGGGAAGAGGGACTGTTTCCATCTTTTCTTTTCTTTTGGTAATAGCCAGATCTGGTATGAGGCTGTTTGCTTTTGACCATATGAGAACTAGTGCCCACACTGTCAACCCTTGGTGGCCAACAGAAGAAATGGACTGGGGAGTGTTAACTGCTCATATTCTTAGAAACAAGCAGGTCATATGTATGCCTGTTTTGAAGGAGCATATACTCCTAATTTCTACTTTTCCTGTTAGTCTTATAGAATTTATCTTAAATGAACTCAAAGTAGGTCTTGAATCAACAGTGAGGCAAGAATACTAAAACCTCGTAGCTATTGTGAATGCATGAGTTTTAAGGTATTTTA